ATGAAAATTGACCTGAATAACTTCTTTGTTATATATGGAATGAATTAAATAGCTACCCAATTTATACGGTATAAACTGAGTTGGGACAGTTAACGCTGCCGTTTATATAAATAAAACGTGAACTATTATTGATAAATAGTTAAGTTTAATTTAAAAAAAAACATTCTCAATAGATACGACACAGAGTATTTGATTTGGACACTTCTTCCGGAATTAGTTTTAGCTGTTGATTTAAAATGAATATTTTGAAGAAATACCTGTTGAGCTTCTCAATTCAGTTTTATTGTTGGACACCTCATGTTGTACAAAAAAATGTAACCCCCCCCCCTTTCTCCTGTGTCACGTGTCTGCTCTATTTCTTTGGAGACTTCTTGAAATATTTGTCGTGAATATATGGATGCTCGCATACGATGTAAGTTACAGTCCCACTATCTAAAATATTTTATGATTGAAAATTAAACAGATTGATCATATGTTCATCGACCTTTTCATAATCTGTTAGATGAAGTTATACACAATACACCGAATGTAAAAATCGCAAAATGATACATCGCTTAAAATGTTATGATTATAATAGAAATTGTTACAAATTCATACGAATCGTTTGAACACTTGAGAACATTCCAACTTATTTTTATTTTGTGCATGGTTTATCGACATGTACTAAAGAAGATTCTGTTGTTCTGGATTCCTGAAAACAATTTATTATAATTTCGATCATTTATAAAATTGCTGAATCAGGCTGTTGCATGTACATGTATTAACGTCTCCAGTGCTCATTCAGTCCTCTTAACTTAAAACATCAATGCAGTATGAAAGTATACATTAATTGTTTTAGAGGTTAAAGACTTTCTTTTTAATAATTTTATTTTAACCGTTAGTATTAAGTATTTTTTAACCTGTAATAAATATTTCCCCGACAAAGACTTAACTACAAACATTTCATGATTTAACATCTATTCCTTGAAAAAAAAATCTTGTTTTCTTCGGATGAATCGCAATTAAATGAATATGTATAAATTTTATGCGTTTCAAATTATGAAAATTTGCTACCAATTACACGTAATTTATTAAATGTATACATGTAAAAAAAAACTTTAACAATGTCAATAATTTTTCCTGCAAAAGTTGTATTGAATATGCGTACATGTACATGTATGGGCAGTTTAATGCAAAATTAGTACGGTACAAATCTGCACAAAATATGTTAATCCGTGGTAATATGCCTATATTTGTTCAAGATATTGAAGTTGGAGGATATGAATATATTTTATTTATAAGTCATTGATCAAAACGCTCTATATTCTAAGATAAAAGATTTATCAAACATAAAAATACATGTTGGTCGGCTTGAATATTGCGTGCTTGATCAACTAACCCATTCATACAGCTTCTCGTGTATCAAAAGGAATGTATATAAGTTACAACAATTGGTTATTATTTTTTTTTTAAATAACAAAAGTTACAGCTTAAGATTGTACATGTGTGCTTTGTTCTTGTTTAATTAATTCAGATAATCAATTAAGCGTAAATGTCCACACATGTAGCTGAGACCCCCCCCCATCCCGTTTACGTCAATCGAATAATATTAAGAATGTTTTACCCGTTTTCTTACTTTCTGTTGTTATTTTTAATATGCAAGTTTAAACCTATACTAAAATGCAACCAGCATTTAATATGATTAAAATAAATCATAATACGTGCATGTACTTTCTCAGGAAGGTAACAGTGAAGCTTATAGTATATGCCTTCAGTCTTCACAAAATCTTTATCTCAGTACATGTCCTTCGGGCATTTGTAACCTCTAATTACACTAGCCCGAACAAATATTTACATGCCCAGAATTTTATTTAGTAATTTTATTCTTTTTTGTCGTTTCACACCAAGGAGATGAAACAAAACCAATTTCTATCAATCTATTGTTTTGCCCTTAATATTGTTTTTCATTCCTGTAGAACTGTATCTAAAATTTTCTTCTGTGCTTGAAACTGTTTAGAAGGAAAATCAAAGACTTCTAAGTACAAGTATATTTAATGTTATTGGCATTATTTAATTTGATAATACGGAGGCTTATGCCTCGGAGTTTACATGCCCTTTGGGCTTGTAAGTGTGCCATTTCCACATGCCCGCTACCAATTTTACCAGGTTCTGACCTTCGGGCTCCCCTTCGTGATCGGGAGGCCCGGGTTCGATTCTCGTTCGCGGCGCTGCGTCATACCTAAGACGTAACCAAAGGTAGTGACTGTTCCTTCGCCAAGCGCTCGGCACTAGAAGTGAAAGTCACGGGTCTTTCGGATATGACCTTAAAAACGTAGGTCCCGTGTCACGGTAGGCGCTGGCACGATAAAGAACCCTCACTGCTCAATGGCCCTGAGTGCCGAGTATAGGTCTAAATTTGAAGCCCTTCACCGGCATACGGTGACGTCTCCATATGAGTGAAAAATTCTCGAGAGGGACGTAAAACAATATACAATCAATCAATCAATCAATCGGGTTCCCAGGATTTGGTGAAGACTGTGCCTTATATTCTATGTCTAGAAATGAAGAGGTGGAGTGTACACGTGTGTCACTTGTGGGATTCATATTTATTCTGGTATTGTGGTTTGTTATTCGGCTTATATACAATGACCGGTTCAAAATTAATTCATGATTAACTTCATAGATATAAATTGCAGATTTTTTTATCTAACAAGATTTAAAAATACATATATTTTATAGAATGGGGATGGGTGTTACATTCTGATTCAATGAAAAGTATGCAGACGTAGTTACAAAAATAATTCTAAATACTAGTACATGTATATAAATATATTTATTTTTAAGAATTTAAACATAAATATACAATAGAAAACGGAAGGCCAGGAAAAATGAATCAAATGTTAAAACATTACCAAGAAAAAATGATTGAACACTTTAACATTTGATGCACCTAATCTTTATTGATTTGATTTAAACACGCATTTATTGAATTGTACAAACGGATCGGAAACAAGTTTGACAACTTTAAAGTTCTTCTTGTGAAACTCATGACTCATTTCATAACGACACCCGAAGAAAAAAGGATCAAACTCTACTACAAGAAACAAATACAATTTATTCTTGGATGGGGAATATCTTTTCAATAAGCCAAAAGTCTTCAGTATTAAAACATTCGAAACTAAAACATGTGAAAAGTTAACTTGTGGGACAAGAAAATTTTATGTTAATTTTCCTTTAGATAGAAAAAATACCTGTCAAAATTTAAAATTTCAGGTATTTGAAACATGAACTATGACAATACATGTACTTTCTATCTATTCTGTTAATGCCCGGGGGTTCGGGGCGGGGGCGGGGGGGGGGGGTAATGGCTGTCTCGAACTTTTTAAAAAATAAATACTTTGATAAAATAACAGTGACAATTAAGTGCATCTGCTTAATTGGGATTGAACCCGAGGCCTCTGTGCTTTACCGAATAAACTTAAGGGTTAACCCACTAGCCCAAGCTAGTAGGAAGTCGTACGTGTGTCGTTTGTACTACCACAATAGCATTTTTTTTTATCCAAATGTTGCTTTCTTCTACTATTGCAGTGATGTAGATTTCTGCCATTTTGCTGCATTGAAAAGCCATAAATTGAAAACTCTCCCAGAGGAAGAGAAGATTTTTGATGTTGTCTTGAGTTTTGTTTTTTTTCCTTTACGATCATTTCGACCCCCCCCCAATCGTCTTTCGTTTTGTTTCAAAGATATACTTTAGAATGTTTATTTTCTATTATCACGATGAAAAATCTTAAATGTTGATACTTTTAAGGGAATCAAATCAAAAGTTTGATAATCTAAATATCATCAAATTATTATATATCTTTACGTCATTTACGATTTTACGTTATGAAAATTCATGCAGTTACACATGCGTACACTGCACGTCATATAAATATTCCCTCTTTGTCCGGTGATATTTTATACATTTATACACAGAAATATATGTTATGTTATACATCAAATGAAAGAGAAAGAAAAACTCTACAAGAATCAATGAAAAACTGAAAATGTCAAAATTCTTCGTTAAGGGAGGTTTTTGCTTGGCGCGTCACATATTTCTTAAAGTAATTATTTTGATATAAATTATTTTACTGCAAAAACATTAATATTAGGAATGCTTTATTAAGTGTAGCCATTTTGTTATGCATAAACGAGTTACTGTACTCGTACTTTATATGGCTCATATAAGTATCTATCTATATGATTTTATGTCGTAATTCTGAGTAGTAATTACTTTCAAATTGAAGAACATTTAATTTTCTAAGGATTTTGTACATAATGTTTATCTTAATAGTCTACGTAGAAAAGAAATTCGCGACAATGAAAATGTAGCCATTTTGTCACATGTTGAAAAAAACGTCATAATGTAATTAAAACAAGATGCATGACGTTTGAAGCATTAAATGAATGTCGTCGTGCTCTTCTATAACTGCAAATCCTTGATAACAAGAAAGAAAGCCTTCAGCCCCTCCTTTATTTTAAGAGTAGTCTTTTGTTAAAAATTTAAAAAGAATTTCATAGCACCCCCCCCTCTGACATTCTTACCTTTTTTTTCATTTTTCATTCAAAGTGCAATGATAAAAATCCTATAAACTCTTGTGATTTCTTTATATATCTATTTTTTAAACTCTTGTAATTTCTTTATATATCTATTTTTAATTTTTGTATTTGAAAAATAAATTATCATTTCAATAATATTTCATTGTGTCAAACGAATAATAGGACCGGGCAAAAGGCATCGCCTCTGAAAGACCACTCCATTAAAGATGAAACCCCCCCCCCCCATTTTTTTCTTCAAATATTAAGATTTTCAAGTTGAGTTATATTCATTATGTCAAAATGTTAAATACACATTTGTAGTTTCTGTGCTTAGTACATTATGAACTGTTACCCCACCCCCACCCCCCGCCCCCGCCCCCGCACACACATAAAAAAGCATTGTTCTTGGGGGAAGCATAATCTTTATTTTTTATGTTACATAGAATTCAAAACGGGGGCCGAAAAGGCAAAATACTATCGGGAACTGAAAAACATAAAGGCAAGAGAGATTCAGTTAAAAAAGTACAATGAAAGGAAGCTTATTTATAATGCTAAAAAGAGAGAAAAACGATTAAAAGAGAAAGCCAACTCAACTGTCACAAAAGAGGCTGCAAGACAAAAGGGGTACAGAGATAGGAAGAAGAGAGAGAAAGAAGAACTTGAGAGAAAAAGGATTGAAAGAAATAAAAAGAAAAGAGAGTACAGAGAGCGCGTAAAAAATAGGCAGGATGATCAAGATGAGGAGTTGCAGCTTATTTTTAATTCGAGAACTCAAAAACACAGGGCACTTAAAAAATTAAAGCAAAATTTACCCAGCACGCCAAAAAAAAGAGCAGCTTTAATATCTACCTATATGTCCTCCCAGAACAGTCCAACTGCTAAACTCCTACAGAAATTTAACAAAACACCATCCCCTGATGATGTAAAGAAAATTAAAATGGCCGATGCCCTTCTCTCTGATATGAAAACTGTTATTAACGAAAACAAACTGAAAAGGTCCGATGATGCAAGAGCGACAATTAACGTTTTAAGTGCAGCGGTCAGTGGGGAAAATGTACAACAATCAAAATGCAGGACAGAGCTGTCTAAGAAACTTGGATTCAATGTGAGACGAATGAATTCAGGTAAATATATGTTCACTCTTCTCTCTCTGAAAAATTAACAAGAGACAAGAGGCCCAGGGGCCACATCGCTCACATAAGCAATTGGCTAATTGGCTAGGAAAAAGCACATATCACATCAGAACTGAAAGTTTCTGAATGGGGGAGGGGGGGGCTTGAATTTTACCCCCCCCAGGAGTTAAAGGATTGATCACACTAGAATCTACACTACTTGAGGATGATTCTATATAAATATCACTAAGCATGACTTTGAAGTACAGGTGTACTTGAAAAGAAGATTTTGAAAGGTTTCCCTATAAATTCCTATGTTAAACTTTTATCGGCCATTTTGGCCCCACCCTTCCCCGGGGGTCATGATTTGAACAAACTTGAGCCTTCGGCTCAGGTGAGCTAAAAACGATTACATCGAAACTCGGTTAAAACGAAGTCACTTGGACCTATGAAATTACTTCGCTATATCCGTTAATTTTTATATATTGTAACCGTATAAAAAATTCAATAAATTTATATAGCTGGGGATCCAAGATGGCTTCGCTATATCCGTGTTCGTACTAAACAAGTTTTGCTATAAATAGTATGTTCATTGTATTTAAAATAACCCGGAATTAGGGGAAAAAAAGAAATTGATGTTTTATTCAAATTTTTAATTTTCTATTGTACAGGAAAACGAATACGTCATAGGGTTCTTAGTACGGAAACTTCGGCGTAGACATACACTGCCCGAAAAACTAGAAGTGATGGTTTATCGGAGGAAACGAGAAAGCTAGCTTATGAATTTTGGATTTCTTCTGAAAATTCGAGACAAACTGCAAATAAAAATGATATCAAAAGAGTTTTTGTATACACGCCATATGAAGTACATTCTTGAAAAGACACAAACTGAAGTCTACCTGAGTTTTCAAGAAAAATACCCACACATTAAAGTAATATACGCTATAACGTGCGCCATTTTAAAATACGGCTGGAAATTTATATATTTTGTTTACCAATAAAAGTTACGAAAATGCTGTAAATTACACCATTTAAATAAAATTCGTTATAAAGTTATCAAATTATAATTATTTATTATCCTGCAAGGAGAATAATGTCTATTTTTAAGTAAATCCACCACGTGACGCCGTCGCTACTTTTAGATTGATAAACAAACACGGCGTCATAAGCCCTTTGAGATACAACTCACTTTTGACATGGATGGCGTGTTACTATTAATATAACTTATCTTTAAATGTAGTTATGACGCATATTAACCTTTTATTAATAATCGTTGTCAAAATGCAACGTGCCTCGTTGTCTATAATTTCCCGTTGACATACGTGTCTATATTTAGACCTACTGTTTACGCACTTCCTTTAAAATTCATGAAAAGACTGAATTCTTGATTGCAGATATTGCTTTATTGTTCACATTTTATAGTTAAATTTTGTGGAAATATTATTTTTTCATTACACTTTATGTGTTTCAAATCATTTAATCATTTTGTTTCAATATATTTGATAAAAAATCTCCCAAAGAAAATTTGAAAATCTGAAACCTTACTTTGTTACTCCCGTTAGACCACGCGACCGAGAAACATGTTGTTGCAGATATCACGTGGAGGCAAGATTTCTATTCAAGAGTTGTATGGAATTCAGAAAACATAATACGCCAACAAATGATCAATATCCAGTTTTTGAAAATCTAACTGAACTGATCAACAGTACACTTTGCCAAAAACCAGAGGGCGAATTATTTCACAATTTAGCCTGCGTGGAACGAAAATGTGAAAACTGTGGCGTCAAACATTTTATGTTATCAAAACAGGAAAAAGAAATGGAAAACTCCAACGATGTTCAATGGATGAAGTATGAATATATTGAATCAAAAATGAAAAACAAAATGACCAGAAAACTCTGCCTTGTTCAGAAGACAACAAAACCTGGCGAAATGTTTGAGTATTTCCTTCAACTCATCTCAAAATTTGCAAGTCACGTGTTTCGCTCTAAGTGGCAATCGCGTCAGTTGAATTTTCTGAAAGAAAATCTGAAACAAAATCAAGTAATTTGTATCCATGATTTCTCTGAAAATTATTACTGTAAAGACAGGGTGGAAATTCAGTCTAGTTATTTTCAGAAGGTAGAGGTATCCCTTCACGTCAGTGTTTTATACAGGCATCTTGTGCCTGATATTGATGGCGAGGCAGACGAGAATACAACTGAACATGACCTTATACAAGAGCATTTCTTTGTAATTAGTCCCGATACCAGTCATGACCATAACTTTACACATGAAGTACAGAAACAGATTTGTAATTACTTAAAATCTATAAATTACCAAACGGAAATGATGCATGAATTTACTGATGGTTGCGCATCACAGTACAAATCTCGACACTGCTTTGGAGATTTGAGTTACTCAGAACAAGATTTTGGATACAAAATTATCAGGAACTTTTTTGAGACGTCGCATGCGAAAGGGGTTCAGGATGCAGCAGGAGGGCTGATAAAAAATCAAGCAGACGTGGCTGTTTCCCGCGGAAAATGCATTATTCAAAATGCAGAACAACTCTATGACTTTTGTATTTCCCATTTATGTTCCCCAAAAGACAGTTCTGCAGGCTGCAAGCGACGAATATTCAAATATGTAAATGACATCCCCCGTAATCGTGGGAGGATGTTCAAACCTTTACCGTCAGTTCGGTGTTTTCATCAAGTAACATTTGTAGAACCCTGCAATATACAGACAAGGAAACTCTCGTGTTACAACTGCAATCACTGCATCAATGAAAATTATAATTTGTGTATCAGTTCCGCTGGACCATTGGAAGACTACATTATGAAGCACGAAATATCAGGTCCGAATTATGATGATTCAAATTTAGATGCTAGTAGCAATGATCAGTCAGATGTTATACAAAAAGATGTAATTATAGCTGTTTATACAGATGATGAAGGGGAAGATTATTATTTAGTGCAGTGCTTACGGGGGGAAAGAACACTTGAAGAGACAGCCAAAGATGACTGGGGAAACGCCTATGATGCTGGTCTAAAAGTTATCGAAGGACTGTATTTTGAAAAAAATACAGGGAGATTATCTTAGTTACAAACTTATCAAAAAAAGAAATGTTCTTATTCCATCTCTAGCTGTTCGTTACATCTGTCTTCAAATGAAATCAAGATACGGAAAAATATCCCTATCTCAAGACATCCACGAAGATATATTGAGATCCTGTGAACTGTCAATCCCATAAAGACTATCTAACATTGATTGTGGCCTGTTATTCTATTTTGATAAGTTTTACATGTATTGATGTAATATTTCATGTGCTTAAAAAATAACGTCATATAAAAATGTTATAACAACGTTATAACGCGTCTTTTTTACGTAACGTCAATATGTACCAACACCGTGCGTAACACCTTGTGTGCAAATACAACTTATCATTAAGCAAAACACTGACTGACTAACGTTTGTCATAGTACATGTAATTGTTAGGCCATTAAATACACTTTGAATTGTTGACGGATTTCGCTATTTCCCTTTTATGACAAAGGTGTACACAGGCAGGTGTGACCGGCTGCGGTCGACAGGGAATGCTCACACCGCCATGGCACCTGATCCCACCTCTGAATTTTTGTAGGTCCGTGTTTGCTCTGCTGAAACTTTGTATTCATAAATGGACTTACTTATGAGCTTATTTAATAACTTGTGGTGAGACCTTGGTATACTGTAAACCAACTTTTATTCGCGTGCGAGAAATTATGGCGAGAACCTCGTCATCCGAATATTTTTCGCCACACACTGGTCCTGATAGTATCTGTCTATGAACAACAGATTAAAAAAAAGGCTTGATCGCGAAAATTAATCGTCGCGAACTAGATTATTCCCAGTAAATCGCGAAATATAGTCGTCGCAAT